GGGGAGGGGCACCAGGGACACACCTAGGCAAGGGAGAACACACCTGGGGGGGCCTGGGCAGGGGGAAAACACACATGGGGCACACCTGGGCACGGGGGGGCAAGGGAGAACACACCTGGGGTATAACTGGAGCAGGGGACACACCTGGTGCAGGTGAGAACAAACCTGACGCAGGTGAGAACACACCTGGGGCACACCTGGAGCAGGGGACACACCCGGTGCAGGTGAGAACACACCTGGGACACACCTGGGGAGGGGGAGGGACAGTGGGGACACACCTAGGCAAGGGAGAACACACCTGGGGCAGGTGAGGACGCACCTGGGACACACCTGGGACAAAAGAGAACACACGTGGGGCAGGTGAGGACGCACCTGGGACAAGGGAGAACACACGTGGGGCAGGTGAGGACGCACCTGGGACACACCTGGGACAAGGGAGAACACACATGGGGCAGGTGAGGACGCACCTGGGACACACCTGGGACAAGGGAGAACACACGTGGGGCAGGTGAGGACACACCTGGGCAGGGGAGAACACACGTGGGGCAGGTGAGGACACACCTGGGACACACCTGGGACAAAGGAGAACACACCTGGGGCAGGTGAGCGCTCACCTGAGGCCGGCCCCGCCCCGCAGGCATCGTGAAGTCGCCGCTGGCCGGGGATTTCATCTCCATGCAGTGCCGGGAGCTCTTCCAGGAGCTCAACATCGACATCGTGCCGCCCTACATGATCGCCGCCAAGGTGGGCGGGGCCGGGGTGGGCGTGGCCGGGGAATCAGCCAATCAGATGCGGCAGGGGCAGGGTGGGGCCCAGCACAACGCTCCTCCCACTTGTGGGCGGGGTTTATGTAGCTCCACCCCTTCCGGGCAGCCAAAATGTCTTGGCTCCGCCCACTTTGGGGCTGGGCTTATCCCTGTGGCTCCGCCCCTTTGAGATCACAGCCCCCCATTGGGTGGTTCTGACATTTGGCCCCACCCCCTGAGTGACGTCATCACATTCAGACTCCTCCTCCTGCCCCACCCCATGGGAGGCTCCACCCCTTTCCCCTTAGCCCCGCCCCTTTCATTATTCAGACCAAACCCCGCCCCTTTTCATTATTCAGCCCAAACCCCGCCCCTTTTCATTATTCAGCCCAAGCCCCGCCCCTTTCATTATTCAGCCCCGCCCCTTTAATTATTCAGCCCCAGCCCCGCCCCTTTAATTATTCACCCCAGCCCCGCCCCTTTCATTATTCAGCCCCGCCCCTTTAATTATTCAGCCCCAGCCCCGCCCCTTT